GGTTTACAGAATAATAATCTTCTGAATTGCACCGTGTTGTATTATATTTAATTGTAACGATGATTATTCAGAGGTTTTAGAATAAGTTACCTGAAGTCATCTGAATTCAGATTGTTTAAAATATAAGGACCAAAGTTAGCTTTGAATATAGACCAAATATTTCTGGTAAAGCTCCCAGTGAAACAATTTATTTAGCATCCAGATAGCTTAGCTTAGCACAAAGACTGGAAATGGAGAAAAACAGCTCCATCCGACTATAACAAGATCCACCCTCCAGCAACTGTAAAACTCACTACCTCATTTATTCCGCCAAGGAGCTGACTTTTCTTTAGTTGCTTTTGTTTGTGTGTTAATTAGCAAGATTCCACAAAAATTACCAGATGGATTGTCATCAAACTTGGTGGATAGATGTGGTTTTGTTAAGGGTCCACAACTTCTTTAAATTGTGGACAGAGTTGAAGTTATTTAGACCCCTTTTCATCTTCCCACCTGGTTTGTATGCCTCTGAATGTTTGGTCCATTATCCGTTTTTTTGTTATGTCACCTTTAGTTTTTCCAAGTAACTTTGTATGAACCACTAAATATGTAAATATGTTTTTTTATTTATATGTTTCTCTGTCTTGGTCTGTCTTTCTTTCATGCTTCCTTAAACAAACGCACCCTCAGTAACACCACAGACACAAAAACAAACCCCCACACTTCCCAATCTTACGCCTCCAATCACTTTGACTTTTATCATTAATTGCCTGCAGGTTTTTTGTTATTTAATTTATTCACCTTTTGTTTTTATTTACAACATTTGTCTCTCTAATGGGTTTTTGATGCCGTTTGGATTCTGATGCCTAATTAGCGCTTTGGCAGATTGATTATTTTTCCTTTTTTGTCCCTAAACCCCAAAGGGATTGTAGCATGGGATTATCTTCTAATTAGTCCCATACTCTTTTTTTGTGAATACACAAGTGAACCAAACCTTCAAACTAAACTCTGAAAGTTCAACCAATCAAATGTTCACATTCAGTCACATTCAGTGAGTGAGCACCACTTTAAATGTGGATTTTTATACATCAGTGAAAGTGCATGGCCCCCTATTTCTTATTATTGGAAGCAGGGGCTGCCCAAGTGCACATCTTTTAAGATAATGGAATTTAAAAACATCACCAATCTGAAAACACAAGATGGTGCTTTTCTTTTTCTTATTACATTTGTCTGTGAATTTTTTTTCTTTTCCCCTCACACCAGTAAAAGTGTCTGTGTTTTAACCCCGAAGCTCCTCTAATCAAATATTCCTTATACATCTGCCCTGACCTCAACCTCCACCAACACTGCCTGGCACAGTACGTGTGATGTGTGTTTGTGTAAGAGGGAGAAGGAGACAAAAAATGTGCATGTGCGTGTGTGTGTCGACCACATAAAGTAAAATGCTACCCACATGTGTACGTGCCATGCATATGTGATACACTTAAGTGCTTGACATGTGCATGTGATTATTAATTTATGCATGCATCTGTGAGCATAAGCACCTGTCTGTCTCCATATTGTAAATGATGTTGAACATTTATGTTTAAAGTGTGGCATGGACTCTTTAAGAAAATGCATGATGATATTAGATATTTACAGAAAGTGCAACGCAGCCCAAACTATTTAGGTTCTCTATGTACATGTTCCTTCTGTGTGACAGTGCGCACATGTGTGTAATTATAGACAGATGTGCATGCATGACAGCATGTGTCATTCTGAGAGGACGAGTGGGTGGAAGACAACCAATGATTAATTTAACAGAGACTTAAATCTATGATCGAAAATGTCTTATACGTTCCCTAATAAGCTACCGACATCTAACATCTTAAATATCTTGTGCTGTAAAAAATATTTCCTTTCCCCCGAAAATCGCCACCAGCATCCTTTGATTTACGGCGCTGCAAACTTCCACTATTACAGAGCTGCCGGCAGGGGAGGGGGAGGAATAGAAATCTGTTTCGCTGCGGATGTGTGGGATGTTTTGACAGGTGTGGTGAATACCACAAAACTAATTTAGTGCTTATGCAGCAGTAGTGCCTCTCAGACAGTCAGGTGGTGTGCTCTGCCACTCCTGGTGTTAACAGTCTGTAATAAAGACTTCAGAAACCTGTCCGACTCATCACGTAGATATCCCTCTTAAGCAGTTGTTGCACGCAGGAGCGAGGCAATTGGGAGTGAAGCCATTTTCTCTTAAAAGCGTCCCCATATCTCTGATCACTTTTTCCTCCTCGCTCTGACTGTGCTTGCTGAATTCAAAGCAAAATGATGTTTTTTTCTTTAGCCACTTTTTCCTCCACAGTTCACAAAGTCTGATCTTGGTTATTCTGTTTGATGAGTCTCGACACTTCCTCAGACTGAGCTGCGCTGTGTTTTCAGGTCCGCAGCAGCACAGAGCCGGGGCAGTGGCTGAATGTTGAGTTTTTGCGCCTGGTATGATAATGGAGGATGAATTCAAACAAGACCTTGAACACAGCATTGTTTACAAAGTTAGCATTGTGTAGTGTGCATGAAGAAATGTTGTTATGGCATTCACCGGTACTGGTTAACAGTAAGGCACTCAGTAGCAATGTGTACGTGTGTGAATGCATGGAGGTGGGACTCTTGTGTGTATTTGGGGAAGATGTAGGTTAATGGCTGTCTCTTTCCCTCTGATCTGAATAATTCATCCAATGGGAAGCTTTTATATGTCTCTGAAGAATCTCTCTGATTGGTTGATCAGGCTGCTGCAGATCTCTACCTGCTTCTTCGACCTTGAGAGATTGATTATGAAGACCATGTCGGAACACTGTGTGTGTGTGTGTGTGTGTGTGTGTGTGTGTGTGTGTGTGTGTGTGTGTGTTGGGATTGTGAGTCCCCCCCCCCAACGAGCCCACTTCCTTCATTTATGTTGTTTATTGTTTTGTGGTGGGATCTCTCTCCTTTATCTTCTGCCATTATCCATTTCCTTGCCCTTAGTTTCTCCACCACTCTCTCATCTGACACGCATATACACACACATGCACTCGCACACACACACACACATAAGAAATCTCTTGTGTCTCCATCTCCGTTAGCGTGAGACCACCTCCACTGGGATGTTCTGAAACATAACACAGCCTGAAGGGAAACACAAAAAAACATAAACGATAACAAAAACCAAAACAACTTTAACAAAAGAAAACTGTGAAATAATAATAATAAAGTGTACAGGAGAGGTCTAGTTGCTGGTAGTGACAGTACAACAGATATTTGTTGCTTAGTGTTAGTTACAAAAGTTGTTTTTGTGATGTTTGAGATGGAGAAAGAACACAAAGTCGTTTTGCTTTAAATAATAGAAATATACATACAGTACATTTAGAGATTTAAATACTAAAGGATCCAGAGCTATATTTTAATAACCTTGTATTGTTTCTCCAGCTCTCATAAAAAAAAGTCTAGTATTAGAACAGAGTGGTTAAGTGTATTAGCCATGTTATTCACATCAGCACAGCAACAGACTTTTTTGTAGTTATGTCTGGAAATAAAACACAATGTATATAGTGATAACTGCGGCTATGCACATACAAATTGTAATCACCATAAATTTTAGAGTTGCACCCAATCGTCTAAAAATATGTTTCCTTTAACTTATCTCCGAAAACAGATCAATATTGCAATATATTAGTTATTGATATATAAGAACCTCATACATCAATGTCCACAGTTGCTAATCTGGTGCTCACACTCCAAACACCATCACCATGTGTGTGTGATGTTATCAAGCATCATTATTTATCAGTTATACAGCAAAGGCCTCAGTCACTTCTATTTAACATGAGCTATCCTGTACAACACAGCAGCTTCCAAGTGAAATGATTATAAAAAACAATTTACTCGCAGTAGGATTGAAGTGGCCTTTTACCAAAGCATGAGTAATAAATATATTGATCACACAAGCATTTGAACTTCACTTTATAGCCCTCAGCCATCTCACCACAACCCAATTAATGGACACGTCCACACCCACTGCCTCGTAGCAGAGAACACAAAGGCCTGTTCATCATATCCAACACTCTGTGGCACCTCTGTCAGAAAAGACACTCACACAATTCATAAAAGATGAGCAAAACAGAAATGAAAGGCAGGTACCAGTGCCTGGTATGTGACTGGGAGAGTCTGTGGCAACCAAACATAACAGCCTAATCTGTGTTGAAGGATTATGTGCACACTACCAACCTGTCTGTTTATGACAGAGGCTGAGGCGGCCAAAGGAAATAAAATCTCTGCGCTGAATCTGGCATTAGGGTTCAAATGCATTCCAAATATGAGTGGAAAATGAGAAATGTCACCACCAAAGATAACCTGTTGCCAGTTTGAGTCTGAAAAAGACAAACAAGTCCTGTCTTGCTAAACATCACAGAGATAAACTGAGGGTAATGGAGGTGAGGTAGAAAGAGGATAAAAGTCATATTCCAGGTGAATCTCAACAGTCGGTTTACTTTAATTTCATGTATAGTGATTTCCTGCCCCAGTGCTATGTTTACATTAGTAAAACCATTGCTTCATTTGGGCTACTCTCATCGTTAGCTTTATACAGCTGTTGATAATGAAACGTTTAGTTTAACAGTGAAGGTTTCTATATTGTAAGTGTTTTTGTTAACTTTTTTGTTAAGGCTGAACAAATATAGCAGGTGTCAAAGAGGCCTCAGACCACGTAACGGACAACAAAAGTTTTTATTCCACCCCCTAATTTCCAAAGTGAATATAACCGGATCAAATATAAACAATGTTAGAATGATATAAACGCTGGTTTGGACTTTCAGGTGTGAAAACTTCCTAGATGTCTGTCTCCATATTGTAGCTCAATCCACTGCATATTCTGTTATTAATCCAAAAAACTGTTCCATTTAATGTCGACTCAAACAAAGATATGTCAAGAAGAGCCTCATAACTAAGTACCACCTGTGGAGGTGATGTGTAGATTTGTTCAGGATGGATCTTTTATAATTCTCCATGGACTAAAGAATAATCCTTATCTTGGATTTAAATAATTAGTGTTACTCTTATAGCTGATATCCAAAAACTAATGAGCATCAGGGATTAGGAGAGTCTGGGACAGAGGTGATGTTCATCCTCCATTAGAATCAGTGGTTGCTTATAGTGAACCTGGAAAACAGCACTAATGAATTAACATGCAATACTGCAGAATGCAACCAGCATTTAATCACACAGTAACTGTAAACATGCTTATTACATCCTGTCCAAAAACAATATTACCCCTCCTGCTGCAGGTCTGGAGAAGAGGGATGTGTAATTATAAAGCTTGCAGGGTGGAAATAAAGTCAGAGCAGGGAAGTAATGGCTGAGACGTCTGTCAGGGCAGGAATGCAAAGGAGAAAACCATTCGAGGCAGCTGACACTTTATGATAGAGGACGGGGTGAGGCGAGCCAAAAACAACAACTTGCTTTCCCCCTTAAGCTGGCTTTGTCATTTCTGTTCTGTGCAGAAATTTGCAGATTGTTAGCAGACGAAAAGTAAACAAGACAAAAGCAACAAACTCCTCACTGATACTCACTTTACCTCCACGAGGCAGCGACTGTAAAGACAATAACTCCACAGTTCGACCTCCCTGAGGAGAGTTTCATAAGATTCCTCGCTGCACTGCTGTCACATAGTTGCCTAATAACCATCCACCAAAGACTCCTATGAGCCTCTCATTTGTACCTGGACTATATAATACGATGAATCAGCTGGTGTGTGTGCACACGGCAGAAGCTTAGTGTATTAACAATCCCAGGACACAGCAGAGGAATTTAATTTCTGTTTATTGAAATCACAGAAGGTTCCATGCATGTGATGGTTTACCGATTTAACAAAGCCAGAAGTGGGTCAGGAACCATCTAATGGAACCAACTTCTAAACCTCAAAAATATCTTTATCAGCCCACCCAGCTTAAGACTGGAACATACACTAATATGAACATATGTATTTATTGAAGATGTCAGACAGCGAGGGAAGTCGGTGTCATCACCTCATATGATGGTTTAAGCATTGAACAAAGCCAGAACCAGGTTAGGGATCAATCTGACTGTAAAAATATCTTTATCAGCCCTGAAGATCACTGCCTTTGATTGGAACATAAACTTAACTGAACATATTTATTATTGATTCCAAAGAGCAACATAAGTCATCACAATTTGACTTTCTGTGGACCGAACTGAAGTAGAAAAACAGACAAGAAGTAAAGATTGTTGCAGCAGAGGCATCACAGACAGAGCATTACAGGAGCCAACACGACTGTGAATGTTTGTGTGGTGTAGACTTGTTCAGCCCTAAAGTTGGGGTTTATCTATCTAATAAGTCCAGAAATCTCTATCTGGCTCGTTTATCTTGAGAACTGTTTATCTTATCGGCTTTACTCTTGGAAGGTGTATGGACATGCAATATGTTTCAATATTCATAAAATGAGTGGTTACCGGTGCTCTGTAGCAGATGCAGCTATTGGGGCTCGAGCACGGCAACAGGACATTCACAACTACAGCAACAAAAAACGATTCTCCTGTTTGTTGTTCTGAGTCGAGCTTCACTGAACTTTGAATGAACAGGTGAACAGCTCTTTGTGCAGCAGCGGGGGCGAGTCTTCATTTGCTCAATTACTGCCAGTCACTTTTAGATTTCAGAAAGAAAACTGCAACCAGCATTGCCACAGGTTAACAGCCCCTTCAGGCACTAGAAATATAAAATGAACTATAGTTTCTACACAGTTGATCTGATGTATGTAAATGTGCTAAAATTACCTCATAGGACTGAACCAAAACAAAGCTGCTCTTACCCTTTCTGCCTTCTTACACAGTATTCACAGTATTGGTTCCAGCACACACCTTTTTGAGACCAAACGCTGTGGTTAAACTTTCTATTATTATTATTTCAAATCAAACACATCTTAGCATCAGAAATGTCAGGTTTATGCTGCTCAGTATCTCAAAGCAGCCCCCCCCCCCCCCCCTTTT